TGATTTCTCACTTTTTCTATCTCTCTGATGAGCACATGCCCTACAGCAAAAAAAAATCTCTCTCTCTCTCAAAAAAAAAAAAAAAAAAAACCAGCCAGTGTGGCCAGCCCTGTAGCCTCATGGTTAAGGGAGCTGGATTCTAAGTCAACCATGGATCAAATCTGAGCCCCATCAACTTGAAAAATACCTGACACAGGCACATGAATGCCTTAAATCCCAACAGGATTGAGAAATAGAGGAGAAGGGATTGTGTGCTGCTAACTATGCCCCACTGGAGGAGTGCTTTCTGCTTCTACATCTCTTTCTGTCTCTTTCTTGTGAATGTATGTGCCCTCTTGGCAATTAATAATAATAATAATAGTGATGATAATAAGCCATTGTGTAGGCCTTACCATTTTATAATAGACTAGATATAGGAACTACATTAGGCTTAGAAAATATGGATTTTATGAAGACATTTGACAAAATTTGTCCTAATTTTTTTTGAGAGGTTTTTGCTATAAGGCGTGTGCGCTTGCCAGACAGACAGAGAGAGACAGAGAGATAGAAAGCGAGAAATCACCCCCTGGGGGGATGGCCATGCTGCAATCCCTTCTCCTCCATTCTCCCCTTGGGATCTTGGGCACACACGCACATGTGCCTGGCATGAGTTTAAGCCACCGGGTCTAGGACTCGAACCGCGGTTGACTATGTGGGAGTTCAGTGACATAGCCATCATGCTAACTGCTGGTCGCTGTCCTAATATTTCTGAAGATAGTATGAATAGATACAAGCTCGATACTAACTTATATTCACATTTCATAAAAGGTTATTAGACTTAGTATTGATGTTCACTCTTTTCGTGTTGCTTTATCATTAGTAATTTATTAGTTATCCATTTTTAAGTAAGATCTGTAAGCAAGATATGTAAATAAAGAGAACATCTACAATTTTAAAACAAAAATATATATAGGGTCATTATAAAGATAATTGGGTAGTTTAATAACCAGCTGAAGAATTGTACCTGAAATGTGCTGAGTTATGATCAGAATCAACCAAGGTGATATGACATGTCGTGCCTTCTGTGTTTAACTTTGTCATAGTCACCATTTTAAAATCAGTAAGTTAGGTGGATAAAATGAATTATAAAGGTTAAATTTGCCAAAGACAAAAGGCTTAGTGTTTCTTGGATATTAAAGTCAGTAACTGAAGATTGAGTGTAAGATATATATCTACGTGTGTGTGTGTGTGTGTGTATGTGTGTGTGTGTGTGTATCTTTATCTATCTGTCTATCTATCTATCTATCTATCCATATATATAAAACAAGGCTAAGAGGCTAAGATAATACAAAATACATATTTACACAGACATCTGTTGTTCTGTATTTAGATCTGATGGGAAGTGTTGGTGGCAAGGAATAGGTAGCTTAAGGGGAAAGTAGAGAATAGTGGAGGGAGATTGAGCATGGATCCTGAAGGGCAAGTAAGGCAGCCAGATCTAAAAAGGGACTGAAGAAAAGAGCTGGAAGGTCATTGGGTATAAGACAGTGACTGGTTCCATTTTTTGTTTTTGTCTCTTTGGAGCCATAGTGTCTTTCTCTCATCCTCTCTCTCCCATTTCCATGAGATGGCTTGCTCTGTATCTTGCACATGACCCTTCTCCCTTATGACTGCCCCAAAGGTAACCTAAATTCTTGAATCTTCAATACTCACAGGCCGTATAGGCTCATCCTAGCTTGTGACTTGATTTCTCTGGGTGCACTATCCAGTCCTGGACTACTAATCAAGCATGGTTCGCTTGGTGGATAGAGAAAGTCTAACACTACATTACCAAACAGAGAAGTCAGAGCTGTGGATTCTCTAAAAAGTGGGGCAGAAATGCTGGCATAGTTAGTGTAGTGAGATGTGGACTTGTACTACAGTATTTTTTAAGAAAAAGAACTTGATTTATTAATTTTATTTGCTATTATTTTTTAATTTGACCAGAGAGACACAGAGAGAGAAAGGGAAAGTGAGAAAGCAAGCCACCAGGTCTGGGACTCGAACTACAGTTAGCCTTGTTGGAGTCCAGCACCCTAACCACCATGCCACCTGCCAGCCCCTGTACTTCAGTATTAAAAAAAAAAAAGGGACTGCGTAATGGCTATGTTGCTAGACTCCCATGTAGTCGACCGCAGTTCGCGTCCCGGATCCGATGACTTAAAACTCACGCCGGGTGCGTGTGTGTGCATGCCCAAGATCCCGAGAAGAGAACAGAGGAGAAGGGATTGCAGCGTGACCATCCCCCCTGGGGGGTGATTTCTCACTTTATGTCTCTCTGTCTCTCTCTGTCGGTCTGGCGAGCGCCCGCGCCCTACAGTGAAAATCTCCCCCCCCCCCCCAAAAAAAAGGGACTTAAATATTTAACATAAAAGCCAGTTATAATATATAATAGTAGCATGTAATTGCTCTAAAAATACAAAGGGCCAATATGGTGTCAGGTTGCATTAAAAGACATTACCAATGATTTTACTAATGAGATACTAGAATGAAGGAAGTGTGAGTTCTTTCATATTCTGTTTTAGTCAGACCAGCCACACTGTACTGTCAGATTCTGGTCACCATGCTTTGAAACACAACACAATGGTACAAGTTCAGATGAAATTATTTAGAATGAGGAAGACAGTGAAACCGTGTCATATGGAAAACAGCTGAAGGAATTGGAAATGTTGATCCAGAGAAGACATGGGACTATTACTGATAACTCTCTTCAAATATTAAGAAGACCTATGTGTGAATGAGGTCTAGGGTTGTTCCATGTGCTTACTAGGAGGACTAGGACCATGCTCCAGGGAGGTGTATTTGGGGTGAGCATAAGAAAGAATTTCCTGATAGACCAAAACTGCTGGAATATGGAGGAGCCTGCTTTTGAAAGTAGTTTCCCACCATATAGGGTGTTAAAATAAAGGCTGGATAATGGACTCAGTGAACTCCTCTGAGCTTGGACCCGTTTATCTTTACATGATTGCTTTCATACCTGATGTTTTATAAATCCATAAATGTGGTGTCCATTGGCAGTTGGATGATTAATGTAGTGATTCATCTCTATCCCACAGTATCGTATCTTGGTTTTTGAATTGGAAATTATGCCAGTCGTGTGTGTGTGCATGCCCAAAATACCAAGATAAAAGGGGGACCAGTGGGGCCAGCAGTTGGTGTAATGGCTATGTTGCTGGACTCCCATGTAGTCAACCGCGGTTCGAGTCCCGGATTCGGTGGCTTAAACTCATGCTGGGCTCATGTGCATGCATGCCCAAGATCCGAGAGCAGAATGGAGGAAAAGGGATTGTAGTGCGGCCATCCCCCCGGGGAGTGATTTCTCACTTTCTGTCTCTCTGTCTCTGTTTGTCTTTTGGCACCCTATAGCAAAAACCTCTAAAAAAGAAAAAAACAACAAACAAAATAAATCAAGATAAGAATGGAAGAGAAGGAACTGGTGTAGCCATCTCCCCCAATCACTTTCCCTTTCTCTGTCTCCAGACAAATGCAAGTGCGCTATGGCAAAAATTTAAAAACAACAACAACAACAAATACACAAAAGCCTTAAAGAGCTAGAAATAAAGGGGAGTTCCTTAAATTGATTAAAGGAATCATTACAAAGACTTAATGATTCTTAAAGGACTCACACTAACCTTATTTATTATTAAAGCCTAAATGAACCAAAATTTATTTTATAAAATCTTACTACTTCCTTCTGGGTGATATTTGTATAATGGCCTTGATAGGTGCTATGGTTTCATCAGCCTTAGTTGTAGGAGCAGTTTCTATAGTCTCAGGAAAGGCTTCATTAAGAGGAAGTATTTCTCAAATAATTAAAGAATTTATTTCAATTTAGCGCTCTGGAGAAAATATTATATGAAGCTGTTTCTTATCCTCTGTGAATAGCAAAACAAGCAGAGGCTACTAGGGAGCTATTTATACTTAAGACTGAAAAAAGAATTTTCTCTTCTGACTTTGCTGAAATTCCATGTATCAGTGTGCTTGTGCTGGCCAGAGTCATGTGAGCACTTTATCTGAGGGGAGTAAGATTTAGCTGACATATCCATATAGATAAGTATAATATAAATAAATGGGTAAGGGCATAGGTGCTGTGGTTTTGTTTTGTTTTGGTTTGGTTTAAAACAGGGTCTCACTATGGTGCTCCTCCTGCCTCAGCCTCCTTAGTCTCTGGGATTCCAGGCGTCCCACACCCAGCCTTTAGGTCTGACAAGGACTTGTCTTCCTATGTGGTCCCAGCCTGCGAAGCACAGTATTTTAGCAGTGCACTCCACTGTGGCTGGGCCAGTGCTGGCTTTAGCTGGGTTTTAATCCCAGCTTCTCCACATATGGGCTGTTTATTTCACTTCAGTAGTCTCCGTTTTTAAATCCATCAAATGTGTATAACTATACCTACTGAGGGGAAAAGGACTGATTTTAAAGAGAGGAGATGAGGTCCAAAGTGTTTTTGCTGTTTGTAGGTTTATGACAGAATGTTACATTCTTGGAAAAATCATAAGATATTGACATTGAACAGGCACTTAAGGTACATTTGGTTCAATGCTGTAATTTTACAGATGAGGAAAAATAGATCTGGAAAAGCGAAGAGGTATCTCTAGGATCGCAAAGTAGTTGGCAGTGAAAGACCAGTGATTTCTTCCCACTTCATGGAAAACTCATCTTAAAACAAGAATTGTAAAGATATTTTCATCATTTTTGGTTTTATTTTATGGAAAATATTTCCAGAGTAAGTCATTCTTAAAGATACCATGGAGAAATAATTATTCTGAAAGACCCTTTTCTAATTCCAAGATTTTGTGTCAGAGTCACTATGCCAGTTTTTAAAATTTTATCCAGATATAAGCAATGTCATAATTATTACTCCATAGCATAGTACACTATACGTTTACTTCATTCAACTGGGCTGGTTGTAATACCATCTTTAGTTGAACTTTACTTTTCAGAATTAAACTAACTATTAAGTAAACATCTGTTCTATTTCCTAGATGTCACCTGAAGAAAAAGTTTGTAAGTACTGTGGAGTGAGCTATCTAATTCTTCATGAATTTAAAGCTATGGAAGAAAAAGTGAAAGCAATGGAAAAAGAGATGCAATTTTATCAAGGAAGTGTAGACCGTGAAAAGAGACTTCAAGAAAAGCTAAAGTCTCTTTGCCAAGAATTTGAACAGTGCAAGATTGATAATGAATCTAAAACAGAAAGGTTGGAGTATGTTTTTTCTTTTCTATACTTGATTTAGTCTGAAAGAAAAGTACAGAAAATAGACTTTGGATATTTTTCTAGAATTTTCTTATGTTAGATATAATTTAAACTTTGCATTTAAGTTTGTTTGTTAATTATATTAATAATTACTAAATATAATTGTTAATTACAATTTGAAGTATCTTTTGAGACATATATTCTCTACCTGAATAATTAGAAAATGGTTAACTCATTAACTGTAAATTGAGATGAGTCAAGTATTTTTTGTCCCCAGATACATACCTTGCTTTTTATCATTAGATAAAAAAGATAGATCTGTCTATTAAAAAATCAGATGAATTTTGGGACCAGCAGGTGGCATGGTGGTTAAGGGCACTGGACTCCCACATGGCCGACCATGGTTGGAGTCCCAGATGTGGCAGCTTGCTTTCTCATGCTTGCTCTCTCTCTCTCTCTCTCTGGTCAAATTAAAATAAATAAATGGATAAATAAAGTTAAATAAAATATTTTTTTCTTTTAAAAATCAAATGAATTTTGGTAGTTTTTGAAATATATATTTTGTTTTTAAATGACTTGGAAGTTTTAGATTTATAATGTTTTCATGTTTTGCAAAGGATGACAAGACATTAAAACTAGTGCATGATTTTAAATCATTAAAATCGGAATAAAATTAAATATGGGTCCCTAACATTGTGGAATCTAATCCACAGTTTAACCTGCCTGAAGGCACTACCTCCCTTTTGGCCCGGTCTGGGTTTTTTTTTTTTTTTTTTTTTTCCTCCTCACGGAAATATCAGTAAGACCAAGAAAGGTACACAAATCCTGCAAAGATCAAAATGGAGAACAGAAATCCAAGGAGGTGGGAATCCAGCTAGCATTCCTGTGTCTGATTTTTCCAGTGAAGACAAAGAGAATCTAACTTACTAAACAGATCTCTTGACATACAGACAGAAAAAAATGTTAAACGAATGAATTAATAGATGAATGAACAAATAAATGAAGAAGGAGGAGGTGGAGTCAGTGGGTGGGATGGTGGTTGAGACAGTGGACTCGAATCACTGTTTGAGTCCCAAACCTGGCAACCTGGCAGCTTGCTTTCTCATGCTTGCTCTCTCTCTCTCTCTCTCTGGTCAAATTAAAATAAATAAATGGATAAATAAAGTTAAATAAAATATTTTTTTCTTTTAAAAATCAAATGAATTTTGGTAGTTTTTGAAATATATATTTTGTTTTTAAATGACTTGGAAGTTTTAGATTTATAATGTTTTCATGTTTTGCAAAGGATGACAAGACATTAAAACTAGTGCATGATTTTAAATCATTAAAATCGGAATAAAATTAAATATGGGTCCCTAACATTGTGGAATCTAATCCACAGTTTAACCTGCCTGAAGGCACTCTGCAGCTTATACAGACATTTCTGCAGAAGAGTTTTTGCTGGTGTTTATAGTTTTTTTCTTTTTCCCATAAATGAAAATTTCTCCACTTAAAATATTGACAGTTGATGTTAGTAAACCTTGTGTTAATGAATTTAATAAATATATCTATGTAAAAGTCAAAATGCTCTTAAATCTCTTAGGGTTAAGTACTTTTATTAAATTTTATCAATAAATATTTTAAAATGCATATAATTACATCAAATGCCAGTTAAACCATATATTTTAGTCCTTTAACAAAACTTTGGTTTTTTTATAGTTTCTTTAATGTCAAGTATGAATAATAAAGAATTTAAAAATATTTGAGTGAAAAATTTTAAAATGTGAAATGTACAGTTTGAAATTTGGAAGGCTTTTCCTCTCAGGCATTGTGGTGGTCATTGTTATTCTCACTTCACTTTCTTTAATAAAATATTGTATTATACAAGTAAAACAGAAACATATGGAGTAAAATAAGTATGAGGGGTCCTCAAAAAGTTCATGATAAATGTGTATTATGAAATAACTATTCATGAGTTCAATTGTTTTTTTACCAAAATAAGCTTGTACTTTAATTCCATTTTTTTTCATAAGCTGTCAAAGTCCCCTTTTGTATAATGTATCTTTGTTTCTATTCCTGACTTAATGTGAACTGGTCCACTGATTTTGTATCAAGTAGGATATTTGCTTCAGGTTTTTAAATGATTTCTTTAATCAATTTAAGGAATCCCCTTTTATTTCTAGCTCTTTAAGGTGTTTCTTTGTTGTTTTTAAGGTTTTGCCGTCGGGCTTGTGCACTTGTCTGAGGGAGGGAGAGGAAAAGTGAGACATTACTTTCCAGGGAGTATGGCCACGCCACAGTCCTTTCTCCTCCATTCTCATCTCTTTTAGGCATGCATGCACACATGTCTGGCATGATTTTCAAGCCTTTGGGTCCGGGACTCAAATCACAGTTGGCCATGTGCGAGTCCAACACCTTACTCACCATGCCACCTCCTGGCCCCAAGGTTTATTTTTTAATTGGAAATGGTTAATGATATTTTTAATTGTCAGAGGGCACACGTACTTGCCAGAGAAAGGAGAATGAAAGCATCCCTAATAGGGCATGGTCACACTGTAGTCTCTCCCCTTCCATTCCTGCCTCTTTTCATCTCTTTGAGCACATATATGCATGCTCATACTTCTAGCATTTTCCTCTGGGAAGTGGGCCAGGATTGGAACATATAGTTAACAATATGGGATCTAGTTTCCTTAACCACTGCACTATGTGGCCATCCTTATTAATAAATTATTATTATTATTATTTTGCCATAGATTATGTGTGCTTGCAGGCAAGAGAGTGAGGGAAAGTGAGAAATCACCCCCCAAAGGGGATGACCACATTGCAATCCCTTCTTTTCCATTCTTCTGTTGGGGTCTGGACATGTATCCTGTGTGATCTCCAAGCCACCAGGTTTCGGATTTGAACCGTGATCAGCCACATGGGCATCCAGCACCAAACCACCATGCTACCCATTGTGTTTAATGAATTTCAGTTAATGTTTTTTGGGGGCCAGCCAGCAAGTGTCATAGTGGTTAAAACACTGGACTCCCGTATGCCTAAGTATGGTTCAAGTCCTGGACCAGTGGCTTGAAAATCACACCAGGCACATATGCATGTGTGCCCAGAATGCCAAGAAGAGAGTGGAGGAGAAAGGACTGCAGTGTACTATTACCCCTATGAGATGATTTTTGATTTTCCCTCTCACTGTCTCTCTCTCTTTCTCTCTCTCTCTTTCTCTTTCTGGTGAGCACATGTGCCCTATGGTTTAAAAAAAGAAAAAGGTTTTGGTTTACAAAGTTTTCCCAGGAATCAGCAGATGGCATAATGGCTACATTGCTAGTCTCCCATGTAGTCAACTGTGGTTCAAGTCCCGGACCTGGTGGCTTAAACTCAGGCCGAGCACGTGTGCGTGTGTGCCCAAGATCTGGAGAGGAGAGTGGAGAAGAAGGGATTGCAGTGTGTCCTTCCCCCCGGGAGGTGATTTCTCACTTTCTGTCTCTCTGTCTCTTTCTATCTTTCTGGCAAGTGCACGTGCCCTATAGCAAAAACCTCTCCAAAGAAAGTTCTTCTATCTTCTATTGGAATGAGTATATGATTTTTTAAAAAACTTATTAATATAGTAAACAATAGTAATAAATTTGCTATTATAAAACTATACTTACATTTTGTATAAAGCCATTTGATCATGGTATGTAGTACAGGGTTCCCTAGATTTTACATATCTACTTACTTTCCTCCTAATTTTTGCCACAGTTGTAAGTACTCTGTACTATTTTTCTATAAATACTCTTTTAAATATATGTATTTCTCCAAGTGTAGTAAGAAATCAGCACCACTTACCATAAATAGAAAGTTAAAAAATAAGTATGTAACTATTAAAAAGTGTTTTGTCTCTATAACACTGAAATGCCTTTACTGCTAGTGATGTGTGAAACAGTTTATTAAGAGCATTGTTCTTTTAGCATAGTGCTGGATTAATTTGCTAGTATTTTATATAGATTTTTGCATCTACATTCACAGGTGAAGTTGGCCTGGAGTTTTCTTTTTTGTACTGTGTAAAGCCTGACTTGCTACAAACTCTTATAATAGCTTAAGAAGCCTTCCATCTTTTGTGTTCTCCAGACACCCAGAATAACACTTGAGTTGATTGTTCCTTGCAGCTTTGATAAAAAATGTGTGTCTTTTTGAGGTGGAATTTTGATGACCTGTTATGTTACCTCTATAATCCTTGGTTCATTTATAGATTTTTGCCTGTTCTTAAGTCAGTTTTGCAAATTGATACTTTCCTAGATGAGCATTTCACTTAGCATTTCTAGTTTCTTGGTATTCTTACTTAAAGTTTTCTCTGTGGGAACCAGCAGTTAGCATAATGGCTATGTCGCTGGACTCCCACGTAGTCGACCGCGGTTTGTGTCCCAGACCCGGTGGCTTAGAACTCACGCTGGGCGCGTGTGCGTGCGTGCCCAAGATCCCGAGAGAATGGAGGAGAAGGGATTGTGGGATGACCATCCCCCATGGGGGGGTGATTTCTCGCTCTCTGTCTCTATATCTCTCTCTGTCTGTCTGGCGAGTGCATGCATCCTACAGCGAAAACCTCTCCAAAAAAAGAAAAAAAAGTTTTCTCTGTAACTATTATGAGCCTCATTTTCTTTTCCTGAGTAGATTATTTGTGTTCGATTTAAAAAAAAAAAAGACAAGGGAAAGAAG